ACGGGCAGGGGTGGTCGCTACACGAGCATACAGAGTTGTGCAACAGCAGGGATATCTCGGATTTGAAGGGAGTACGAGAAGGGATTTCGCGAAGCTGGGCGGGCAAGCAATTAAAGTAATGAAGGGCCTTGTACAGGGGAGAATGGAGACAGCGGTCAGTCCGCGGAGTTGGCAAGTGCCAAGTACGAGAGCGACGTAAATTATACAAACGTTGCTAGCAGTATGCAGCGAGAGTATATGTGGTGGGGCATAATTATGGCGCAGAGAATGCGCGAAGAGTATGTGTTTAACTTTAAAGCGTGAAAATAATGTTGGCCATTTGATGCGATGCAAAGGTGGGAGTGTTGGTGTTGTTGTTGTTTATTTAACTTCACCAAATGAACGCAGAGATGCCTTCGCACCTGCCCATAGGACAGGTTCCCACAGAATGATGAAGGGATGATATGCAAGGGAAAACATGAAATGATAATAATATAAGACGGAAAGGACCAAAAGAAGAAAAAGAAAAAATCATATGAAGACAATTTCATGGAGTCAGAAATAGAAAGGCAATAATTTCATGGAGTCAAAGAATAGAAAGAAAATTTCATGGAGTCAGGAATACGTGGTTTATTTTTTAGACATGCATGCACAAATGATTGACAGATGAGAAGGTTGGATATTATGGCAGATGATGAAGGTATAACGAGGATATTCACAAGGTAAGTATATCAATGGCAGAAAGAGCTTTTCGGAAGGGACCAGGGACACCTATCACTCTAAAATCAGAGGGGAGAGCGTTCCAGAGAATGCTTCCCCGAAACATCATGGTCGATCATCCCCCAGGCCCACGAAGAAAGGGAACTTGAAGCAAGTTCGACACTTGTCCCCGTGTGGTGCGCTGATCCTCCGGAACAGTCCCCGGGGCCGTTCGGGTGAATAATTGGTGAAGAAGGGGGCTACAGGAGGAGTTAATACATCGATGAACAAATACGACAATTTTGTGTGTATATGTATGTGGTAGACTAACAATGCGAGTTCGTGAATAATGTAAGGAAATTTGGTCAGCTGTGGGCAGAGAACTCTGGATCGCTGTTCCTGTGCTCTTTCGGTGTAGTCAGCCTCTTTACAAACGTGCCTCTCAAGGAAACAAAATATATCTGCATACAGTCGCTATACCATGATGATGAAATATCAGCCCCGCAAATACCCCAAGATCTTATCAAGAAGCTGCTTTCCAAAGCCACATCAGACGTGCAGTTCAGTTTTAATGATAATATGTACGCACAGAGGGACGGAGTCGCCATGGGTTCACCATTGGGCCCCGTGCTAGCCAATATCTTTGTTGGATATTTTGAGAACACAATTCCAGATAGGCATTGGCCCCAATTTTATAGGCGTTATGAGGATGACACATTCGCAGCACTTCACAACCGGAAACTGGCATTGGAATTCCCTGAGCGTTCAAATAATATTCAACCAGCTCTTCAGTTTACAATGGAGGAGGAGAATAATGGAGAATTGCCGTTTCTTGATGTATTGATTAAGCATTCTTCCACAGAATTGCTCACCACTGTATATAGAAAGCCGACGTTCACAGGTCTTTACACTCGCTGGAACTCGTTTTGTGACACTAAAAACAAAATTAATTTGATGAGATCATTTTAACCTTCAGAGGTGAAAACATCTGATCACCATCACAATTATCAGCTGAAATTGCTAAGCTAGAGGATATTCTGTGTTCTAATGGCTACCCACCCAAAGTACTCAAGCGAGTCATGACAAGCGTTCTTGAACCTAGCCCAGATATAGCTTCTGCACAACTTGAATCTGGAACGCGCATCATCACAAAATTGCCGTGGAAAGGTGAAAATTGAAATGCCTTGTTTATCAAGAAGCTCCTGCTGGTATGGAGATAGCACATCCTAATTGACGGAAAGACGTTCCGGAGCAACTGGATAATCGTTGTGCTCCTCAAGAAGTTCGTGTGGATATTCCAGATCACACGGAACAATATACCCTGATGAGGAATCATAGACGAGCCCCATCAAGCGATGCAGCCTGCTCCACCAGCTTGAAGTCATTTTCACTTGATGCAGCTCGCTGCTTGCCGGTGCATCTTTTTGGGTTAAAAGCAGCCTCCCTTATGCATTCAGTCCGGCGTCTTTCCCACGATGTGTTGTTCTGGTTGACTAGTTCAGCAACCTGAGCCTCTGTCATTTTCACTGACGCGCCAAGTTCCGTCTGACTCATCCTCTGGAACGACGGGATTTCCAGACCACCAAACCGGGTGGGCAGTCTCAGCATGCGTAAGTCCTCCTCGGTGAAGGCACCACGACCCGTCAGTGCTGGGAGAAACTTGAAAGCGATGATATTGTCTAAGCGCTTGACGCACTCATCCGGGAGGGGCACAGTGCGGAAAAGGTACGCCCACCTACACCGTAAGCCATAGGTTAGTGCTGCATAGGCAGCATGTGGTTCCGTCTTGGCAAACCAAGACAGCTTCCGCAACTCGCGCGACCAACCATCCACCCTCTTCCTCACCCAGACCAGCCACCGCCTCAGGCTCACCAACAAATGACCCGTCGTCCTGTGGTCTGCCGGAGTGTGATATTGTTAGGTACAAGTACATTATGTCATTTCTCTTAGCATGTTTCTTTTCTGTCATACTACTGAGAGTGTATTATTATTATTATTATTATTTTGCTTGTTCGCGTTGGCATCAACCTGCATAAAGCAGGTATATAGCCTTCGCTTAAGCTGCCATAAAAAAGAAAGCTCATCCTAAGCGAGAGGGCTAGAGGGAAATATAACGATAACGAGATACAGAATACAAAGAAATCCAATGAGTTCAACGTACAATTCAAAACAAGAAAGAAAGGGAAGAAAAACAGAGCCGAATCTACCGATTGATCCATCAATCGACAAAGGGGACTAATCCGTTAGGGCCCTTACACACTACGTACATGTAAAACGCAACTAACTTGAGCATACGTTGCGTATGCGCCAGCCTGATCAAGTGCAGTTGCACACTGACAGGTGATCTGCTTTTTACGTACATGACTGTACTGATGTAGTGCAGTTCGGATGAAATGTTCTGCTCTCAGAACGAGTGCTGTGTGTGCTTCTTCGATTTCGTTCTGCATCTTGTGTTGGAGCCATGCCCATGGAGCTCAGGTTGACTCCGGCAAGGAGAAAGCGGCGACGTAAAATTGTTGCCGCCATGATATTGCAGGACCTGCAGAAGCTAGTGAAGTCGTCTGATGGCGGTCCTGTTCTTGATATTTTCTAGATGACTGATAACAGTTGCTCAAATTTCATGGTCACGACGATGCTCAGCATGCTGTTGCGGAATGGTACCGTCAAATACAGAATTGGTCGCAACTTGTGGACAGCTCACCCTGAGAACGAGTTTGGAACGCCTTGTTTTTTGATATATCGCCCACAGCTCCATGAGCTTCGCCTCCATTTCTTCTGTGCACTGGATTTTCGGCATCGTGTCGCGCTCAGCAATCAAACAAGATCGAGTCTACTACGGCTTGAACAACACGAGTTCAGGTACGAGAATTTCAGAAGCAGGCGAAAAGTCCAATGGACAGCTGAAATTGAAACACGGAAATCCACACAGCACCAAACAGCAAAAACACCAACAAGAAGTTGAAGTCCGAAAGCGCGGGAAGGCATAAAAGCTAAAAAGCTAAAAAGCAGCCTTCTACACCCGTCCGAGATCTGAGTAAAACGTTTACGCAACTTTTTAGATTTCGTGCCATATGACGTCAGTCGACATGGCAACTTTTACAGGAACGCAACAAAAAAGCGGTTTTCTACGTAGTGTGTAAGGGCCCTAAGTGTTGCAAAGTAGAAGCTGATTATAGTTGCAGATCTCCAGGCCAGGGCCAGCATATTGCCGATTCTGGATAGGTCTCCGCAGCATTTGATGTGGTAATTATCATAATGTTTGATAAAATTGTTAGAGTATCTAGTATCTAGAGTATCTAGAGTATCTAGTATCTAGGCATTTGACACTATATCAAGGGTCAGGCTGATCGATATACTGTCAACAGTCATTGATCATGATGAGCTGCACATCATCCAGTGCCTTCTGACAGACACCACAATAAAAGTAAAGCTGAATAACATTCTCAGCCAACCATTAGTCACACACAATGGAACCCCACAAGGTGATTCTCTATCGCCAGTCCTGTTTACTGTCTACCTCGAGGCTGCATTGAGGTTGATTCGAGAGCGACTCTCACCGCGACCAGCATTGGATATTCAGCTTCAATTGCCCAATGAAACAGCGTATGCGGATGACGTAGACTTCATCAGCACCAGCCTACAATATTTGCATGACAATCAACCCATACTATCATCCTCGTTAGCGGAATACAATCTAAAAATGAATGAAGCCAAAACCGAATATACTACAATTAAAAGAGAAAAGGACAGAGTAGACGAGCGATGGCGGAACACGGTCAAACTAGGATCGATGCTTGGAGTGGAGGAAGATATCAGTCGGAGAAAACGTCTAGCAACATGCGCCTTACATCAGCTGTGGGTGATATGGCTAAGAGGTAACCATGCCCGTGAACCCCTTCGGATTAGGTTATACGGCAGCTTTATTCTCCCAATACTTCTTTATAACTGCGGCACATGGAGCCTGACAGAGACTCAAGAAAAGAAACTTGACTCGTTCCACCGCCAGCAGTTACGAGCAGTCATAGGGGTCAAATATCCCCGTATAATACGCAATGAAGCACTGTACAAGCGCACTGGCTCCAAGCCACTCAGAGTGTATGGCATACTTATTCTATGACAGTGCTCGCTTCATTGAATTTTGCTGTGTTTGAGTATGGTTTCAATTTACTTATCACATTCTTGCTTTCATGCAATTGTTTTTAGATCCTTGACTTGTGTTCTACTCCTCCTATTACGGTTTACCGCCTGGTTTGTTAGCGGCCATCACTGAACCCAAATATTCGCAAATATTTTTAGTCCCCTTTTCTCCTCTCCTTTTGTAGACGCCTGGACAATAATCAACTTGCAAGCCTTCCTACAAACGTATTTGCCAACCTACCAAAGCTTGGGCAACTGTAAGTTAACCGTCATTCCGGGTTGTTGGGTCCAAAGGGTCCCCAGGGTATGATTTTTGAAATATTTTTACTTTGCCTCATCACATCTCCTGGAAATTTCTTGTATTCCTCAACAACACAGTACCCTAGATAAGTACTCAATCTGCAGACAGACCTGTTTCGTCTTTTGTGGACTCATGAGCGCAGCACAGAGGAAATAAGGCCAAACATGATGACAATGAAAAATTCCAAAACCCTATTTTAATTAAACCAGGCCAAACGTACCCTGTCATAGTGCTTAAACTGACAAGTCAGTGAGCTCTGCATAACACAAACGCCAAAAGCGCTACCCCACACAAGAGTGCTCAACTGCTAGAAGAGCAGGAGCGAAATCCTCAAACAATCAGTCTGTGAATGTGCGAGTGGATGCAGTTTTTGGCGCTCCGGAATCATTCCATCCTGTGTGTATGTGTACCTGTTAGAAATGTCTCGAGTATGTTCCATACAGCTGAGTGGCAACCTTCCCTCGAAGGACCATGCCTTTTTTTATTAGACTGTTGCTTTCCTCTGGTGTCAAACCAGACGAGAGAGCCTGGAAGCTCAGGGCCCTACGCTATGCTTTTTTTGCCTTGATGACCTAGACAAAAAAAGCATAGGGATGTTATAAATTCTTTAAAAAATTCCTTTTTTTAAAGACATAACCTGGGATTCGAACCCGCACTATCGCGCCCTGCATGCATCCCCCGGTCTTTAAAAAATTCCTTTTTTTTAAGACATAACCTGGAATTCGAACCCGCACTATCGCGCCCTACATGAATTCCCCCATACACTTCGCATTCATACCCATTCTTCCAAGTTGCTTCACGTTATGATCTTGCATTTGAAAGCCCTATTAATTTTGAATATGCATTGTGGCCAGCCGTCTTTGATGGTACGGTACGGTAGGGATAGGTACGGGACAGGTACGATCGAGGGTAATACGACACCGTCTCCCGTACCGTACCATCAAACACAGCTGGCCACATACAGCTGCCCACAATATTCAAATAGGGCTTTCAAACGCAAGATCATAACGTGAAGCAACTTGGAAGAATGGGTATGAATGCGAAGTGTATGGGGGAATGGATGTAGGGCGATAGTGCGGTTTCGAATCCCAGGATATGCCTGAAAAATAGGAGAATTGAAAATTTTATAACATCCCTATGATTTTTGCCGTCAGATACGGGATAGCGCCAGGCGTGACACAGACAAACAAACAAACAAACAAAGACATAAACAAATACCAAATTAAAGCTGTGTGGACCCTGGCTAGCGCCAGACGTTACTGAAGTAACGTCTTCTGCATAGCTACGTGAATGAAACGAGAGAGCTTGGAAGCTCAGGGCCCTACGCTATGCTTTTTTGCTTGCTCATCATGCATGTGATGTGCCAAAGATGTGTGAACCCTGGCTAGCGCCAAACGATACTGAAGTCACGTCTGTTGCATTACTACCGGGTTAATATTTTTTGTTTATTTTTAATTTTTAATTTTTTTGTGTCACGCCCCGCGCTATCCCGTATTTGTCCCGTGCCGTACCATCAAAGGCAGCTGGCCACAACATTTTTTGTTTGTTTGTGCCATCGGCATGCCTGGCGCTATCCCGTACCTGTCTCGTTTCTGCCAATCACGGGCGTTCTGGAGTCGACGGGATGTCTGTCCTGACGTTTCCTGTGAACGGTAGGCATATGCGGATAATGCCGGAAGAAAAATTGGCAAATTCGGTACTTTTTTGGTAAGTTTCATGCATCATGTTTGGTATGTGGATAAAGAAATGGAGCAGAATTCGAGGAATTGCCCGCCATAGGTTTGTATGGTTCTGCCAATTTCACTGCTTTTCGAGCAGAATCTGCCACCTTTTCGAGCATTATCTGCACACCCCTAGTGACCGGCGCTGACTCTGCCGATCACGGGCGTTCTGGAGTCGACGCGATGTCTGTCCTGCCGTTTCCTGTGACCGGCGCTGACTCTGCCGATCACGAATGTTCTGGAGTCGACGGGATCTCTCTTCCGACGTTTCCTGTTACCGGCGCTGACTCTGCCGATCACGGACGTTATGGAGTCGACGGGATCTCTTTTCCGACGTTTCCTGTGACTGGCGCTGACCCGCCCGTTCAGAATTATTTTGGAGAAGACGGGATCTCTCTTCCAAAGGTTGTTTTTGCTGACGCATCCTGTCACCTATTCGGCAACTAACGTCCATTCTAATTGCATTTCCTCGTCTCCCTACTTCGTATTTCTTTCCAGAAAATCTCCCTATACAGCAGGGAGTTGTTTACATAATACGACTCCCTGCTATACATCTATATACGTTATAATTATTATGCTAACGGCCTACATGCGATTCCCGGGCTGGTCGACAGGCGGCCCAGCCAGCCTGCTAGTAGGATCTCGGCCTCGCACACAAATCCACACAAAATGTTACTGCACTGAATGCATTCCCCCGATACACTTCGCATATATACTCATTCTCTTGATTGTACCGTAATCTTGATGGTACGGGTCAGGTACGGGATAGCGCCAGGCATGCCGATGGCACAAACAAACCAAAATATTGTGGCCAGCTGTCTTGGCTGGTACAGTACGGTACGGTACGGGACAGATACGGGATAGCGCCAGGCGTGACACAAACAAACAAACAAACAAACACCAAATTAAAGCTGTGTGGACCCTGGCTAGCGCCAGACGTTACTGAAGTAACGTCTTCTGCATAGCTACGGGAATAAAACAAATTGACCTGAGCGGAAGGCGCAGAGTTTGTAGAGTTTCGTTCTCCTCCACATCTGTCAGAGACGAGGTATTATCAAGAGGGCTCACTGTCGACGGAGCTCAATTAGTACTGTAAGTTGGTGATGGAGCTGTAGTCTCTGTGCATATCTTTGACGTGGCGGACGATACTCCGCTGTCGGCCATTACATCGGCGATGGAGAAGTTTGGAACCACCGTTGGTCTCCCAAAGCGGGAAGAAAAGTCTGTGGATGGCTGTACGCTCACGACTGGCACTGTATTTGTAAATGTTGTACCCAAGTCCACCGTACCGTCTACAATCGTGCTGCCTGGCTCCGGTCAAAAACTTCGCGTTTGGCACAGGGGTCAAGTTCCCACGTGCTTCAAGTGTGGCTCCCGTACGCACCTCGCGAAGGACTGTGGCCAGCACAAGAACAACTCTGCATCTGCCGGCAACTCCACGCTGTACTCTCGGATCCACAAGGCTGGTTCAAGGTCGAATACAGGTCAGGTCATGGACCCTGAGCGTGAAGTTCATGATAGTTCAACTGCTGCCTCAGAGATGACTACATGTACAGATGGAGCTGCTGGACAGTCTGCAGTTCAGGGCGGAGTGCAAACATGTCAAACCACTGACATGCTTTCACAGACACTGCATCAGGAACGCAGTGTGACCAGGACGCCAATGCAGGAGGGCAACAGATTTTTCAGTGGCAGAGGGAAGGCACCTCATCAGTCACCTGACACTGACAAAGATGGATTCACCATGGCGTCAGGGAAGCATACATTCCCAGCAACTCCTCGGGCTGACAAACTCGGCAATGCTTTCTCCACTGCAGCTGAAAGTGATGAAGTTTCAGGTGCTGAGGATACCGATAATAGTGGCGCACAGGTCACAATCAACGGAATAACATGTGAGTGCTAACTTGAAAACAGTACCATATTTCGACAACCTCTGCTCCTCAAGCCCTAGTTCCTCTCAATCCGAACGCTACACCATTCCAACCCACTGTTACAAGAACGGTGCTTGCACCGTCGGAGCAAGATTTGACCATTGCATTCCTCAACATTTGTAATCTGCGCTACAAAGTACATGAACTGTCGGACCATGTGCATTCGATGGACTGGGACATTGTCGGTGTGGCCGAGACTTGGCTCACCAACACAGTAGCTAACAATGAGATAGAAATATCTGGATACAGCCTTGTCAGGCTGGATCGAGCCGGCCGTCCTGGTGGAGGTGTGTGCCTGTATTACAGGTCTACACTTCCTGTCACCGTACAACCAGATTTGAAGGTGGACGGTATTGAAGCCGTGTGGATCAGTCTGCACCACTCCAAACAGCGGCACCTTTTTGCGTGTATGTATCGCCCCCCTGCTGAATCAATTCATTATTGGGACAGATTTGAGCAGGCTCTTCACCAGGCAGCAGTGGTATCACCATCTGTCACCATGCTTGGTGACTTCAACATTAAAGTTAGCTCAGCTGTAACACCTCAGCTCCACCGTCTCAATGATGCAATTCACTCTTTCGGTTTGAGAAATTTAGTTTCTGCCCCAACCCGAATAACCCGAAGGTGTCCCGTCGGCACAACACTGGACCTGATCCTCATCAGTAGCCCTGCTACAGTCTCCTGCAGTGTCGTACCCTGTACTCTGAGTGATCACTCGGCCGTACATGCCAGACTGGACCTCGCGCTACCGTCCGCTAAGCATCAACACTCCTCGCAACGCCGGGGAACCAGTTTAACCCGCAACATGCGCACCATAAACCTTCCAGAATTTCGGGATGAGCTTGCCAATGCCAACCTGAGCGTGTTCCAATCGACTTCCTCCACTGATGAGATGTGGAGCACTTGGCACACTAAATTCATGCGTGCTCTTGACAGACATGCCCCTCTCAAATCCACCAGCAGGAAGGCGAGCTCATATCCCCCGTGGTCTGACAGGGAATTGTACCAACTCCAGTGTCGCAAGAAAAGGCTACATCGCCAGTGGCTTCAGAAGAAGGACAGCACCCATCTCTACTCGGCATTCAGGCGTGCCCGTGCGGCTGCCAGATATGCCTATCGTAGGAAACGCAATGAGTATTTCCAAATCCAATGTGCTGAACATAGTCGCAATCCACGCAAACTGTGGCATATCATTAACATTGTAACATCTCGAACTCGCCAACGTATTGAGCCAACGTGTGATGTGGAGGATGTCGCCACAGCCTTCAGTAAAGTTGTGACTGATAATGATAGACCCCCTGTGC